GGTTTCCGGCAAAATAGATCATGCACGGACCAGATAGCAACGCTCCGCATCATAGTCGAGCAGTCTATGGAATGGAACTCCTCGTTGTATATCAACTTTGTTGACTATGAGAAAGCATTCGATAGCGTGGATCGAGAGACTCTCTGGAAGCTCCTTTGGCACTATGGCATCCCAGTAAAGGTGGTTAACTTGATTAAGAACTTATATGACGGCATACACTGTAGAGTGATCCATGGAGGGCAGCTTACAAACAGCTTCCAGGTGTGAACCAGAGTCAGACAAGGATGTTTGTTGTCACCATTTCTCTTTCTCCTTGTCATTGATTGGATTATGAAGACATCCACTTATGAGCGCAGGAACGGAATCCAGTGGACGTTGTGGACCCAGCTTGATGACCTGGACTTTGCCGACAACCTTGCACTCCTTTCACATAGCAAACAGCAGATGCAAGAGAAGACTAACATAGTGGCAGCCTCATCATCACAGGTTGGCCTCAACATCCACAAGGACAAGACCAAGATCCTCAAGATTAACTCCATCAGTAATGACCTAGTCACATTGAATGGAAACCCTCTGGAAGAAGTGCAGTCCTTCACCTACCTAGGCAGCATCATCGACCAACAGGGTGGCATGGACGCAGACATCAAAGCAAGGATCGGTAAGGCAAGAGCAGCTTACTTACAGCTCAAGAACATCTGGAGCTCCAGAGAGCTGTCTTTGGCAACAAAGATTAGACTGTTCAATTCCAACGTGAAATCAGTCTTATTGTATGGAGCTGAAACTTGGAGGACAACTAAAACAACCACCAGGAAGATCCAGACCTTCATAAATAGTTGCCTTAGAAGGATTCTCCAGATCCACTGGCCAGACACCATCAGCAACATCTACCTCTTGGAGAGGACCTGTCAACTTCCAGCAGAGGAAGAAATTAGAAGGAGAAGGTGGGGCTGGATAGGACACACACTACGCAAGCAGCCAACTAACATCACTAGACAGGCATTGCAGTGGAACCCCCAAGGCAAGCGGAAAAGAGGCCGTCCAAGAAACACCTGGCGACGCGACCTTCTAGGCTGATAGCATAAAAATGGGCTATACCTGGAACCAGCTAGAGCAAATGGCCCAGGATAGAGGACTCTGGAGATCTGTGGTTGGTGGCCCATACCCCGATTGGGGTGACGGGCATGAGTGAGTGAGTGAGTGTCTGAAACTCACATTATTATTGTTCATACAGCAACAGAGGTATACATGATATTTGAATGTTTAAAACTAAACTGGTACTCCCCAGCCTTTATCTGGTTCTTTTCCTCCACATGAAGTTTTTTAAATGACCTTTGGCTTTCAAAGGAAAAGTGTGACCCAATAAGTAGCTGAAAGATGACAAGAGTGTCTGCGATGCTGTAACTGGGCATGCTCCATCCCCATCCTCGAATGCCCCAGAAACTCTCAAACTCTCCAGTAAATGGCAACTGTGTGTGAACTGATTTATATTCCCATCACCAACACCAGTAGTCTCATGTAGCAAAATATGTACAGTGTTTCTTGCCCGTTAGCCCTTTCCCACAGAGTTCTCCCTTACTTGATATCTCAGAGCATACTGGGCTCAGGTCTTCTCACTTTTCTCCCTTCCTGTATCTTCCTCCTTCATGGAGGATACAACCATCAATGGCTATTAGCCAGATTTGGCAGGGATGGTGTCACTAGCCCATTTGCCAGAAGCTGGGAATGGGTGACAAGGAATGGATCACTAGATGATTACCTGTTCTGTTCATTGCCTCTGGGGCACCTGGTACTGGCCACTGTTAGAAGACAGGATACTGGGCTAGATGGACCTTTGGTCTGACCCAGTATGGCCATTCTTATGTTCTTTTATACCTCTCAGCTGATGGGTTCATCAGCCCTCCCAGCCCCATCAGCTAGTTAGGTGCATATCCCCAGATCAGCCTTCTCCAGAGAAACTGATTGGTGCCTAGTATCAGGGGGTAGCCGTGTTTGTTGTTTTTGTGGATACAGACTAAGAGTCCGGTGGCACCTAAAGACTAACAGATTGGTGCCTAAGCAATCAGAATGCAGGCTCACTTGTTATCTTCCAGCATTCTGTCACACCCCGCCCTCCCTCGTTGAATGCCGAAGTTCCTTTTTCCTCACATCCTCCCTTCTTGAGAGGAACCTCCGGTATCTTTTTCACCTGCACTTGTTCCCAAGATAGTTATTCCTCCTCCACCCACAGAAGTCACATTTTGTGGGTGGGGGACATCCTCATAATTGTGTTTCAGTCCACTGGCCTTCACACCAGGGGCAATTGGAAGATCAAATCTGTTCCTTCTCACCCTCTTTCTTTTTGGGACAGGACATGTCCTAACCCTTCAGTATCTTGTTCCTTAAAGGCCTCATTTTCCTAATTCTACCAATGTATCTTGGGATTCTTCCTCTTGAGGCACTCTTTGGACAGCCCATCCCCTTCCCAGGGGCAACTCAGCCATTGGGCAGAGCCTTCTCTCCCCATGAACGCACTCGAGACTCAGCTTTACCACACCTTTCCTAAACCATAAACACCCTGATGCAGTGTCCATCTGGCCGCTCTTCCCTATCCTCCCCACATTCACCAAGATGGTTGGCATTTTTTTCTGCTACTCCCCCAAGGTACCAGTCCAACCACAAAATTTCCCCTCTATGGACTATAGGTTGGCTCAATCTCGTCTGTGTCCCTGTCTCCTACATTGGTAGCAGGTAATTTCCTGTCTTCCTGAGAGAGTGTCTATGACCTCCTCCCTTTTCTTCCCTGCAGGGTTTTCCTCTGCCAATTCTCCAACTTCTTTCCTGGCTGTTAAATGCACACACCACCTTTCAGAGAAAATCTGCTTCCTTAAACTCAGAAGAGTTTGACCTCTGCATCCAGAGTTGTGGGCTGAGGCCTCCTAACACAGACACCA